CAGATTATTTTTTTCTTTTTTGACCTTAGTGTTATAACATGATGCTGTAACTAACTGAGCCAACTGGCCAGCCCTCAGGTCATATTTTTGATGTGTTTATTCATTATTTTGCTAAACTGTGCTGATTTTTTCTTTTTTTTTTTTTCCTTTTTGTCTTTGTTCGTGTCCGGCAACGGATCGCAACCCTCAGTGTCGCGCCCGTACCGGACCCGGCAACAGGATCGCAACCCTCAGTGTTGCACCTGCACCTCGCTCAGCCAGTGAGCGGGAACCGGTCTGTATGTGGGATCCGAACCCTCGGCGGGAGCGGCGTTGCGCTCCCAAGGGGCACACTGTAGCAGTGCGCCACCGGGCCGGCCCATGTGCTGATTTAAATGCACTGGGATAATTCAGTTTGAATTATCTGTCTCTGTGAGTTGGTTCTTGCAACTCTTGCATGATCAGTTCTTCTGATTGTTTAGGGTTCATTTTCTTGTTTAAAATCATGCAGAGAGGGCCGACCCCGTGGCGCACTCGGGAGAGAGTGGCGCTGGGAGCGCAGCAGTGCTCCCGCCGCGGGTTCGGATCCTATATAGGGATGGCCGGTGTGCTCATGAGGGTATGTTAATGTTGTAAGTATCCTCTTGCAACTAACTTAATTAACTTAAATGTTAAATTTCTTGAGTAAGTAATCTAAGGAAGGAGAGTTATGTTTGCAATTTGACAACAATATATTATTTTTAAAAGTAGATTTTACCCATCTCTACTTAGTGTTTTGTATTTTGGACAGTGATTCTGAGACATGCTAACCAAATAATGGGTTTTGAGAATGTTAGAGCTGGATGACTGTATAATTTATTGTATTAATCAGGACACTTTTGAGCGTAAAAGGATACTATTGATAATTATGCCAGGATAGTATGCATAACTGGGAGATATAGTCATTTAGTTATAGGAGACTTTTTCTCAGAATTTAAATACTTTTTATAACTTTTGAAATGGAGGGAAGTTGGTTGGAGCTAAGACTTTTGTAAACAGGAAAAATGCAGATTTCTCTCAATTATACTGTTAAGTTGTTATGGTTTAGACTCAGATGACACCTTTTGGCTTTGTTCTGCAATGTTTATGGAAGGCATCTTTGATAAGTGACATCTGGTTTAAATTTCTTTTTTTTTTTTTGCTCATTTAGGAGAAGAAAATTATAGTTTTGAGAATATGTTAGTGTTTTTTTTTTTCTGGTTATACAAGTCCTATTCACTGTTGTTTTGCATCCCACTTTACTTTTTTAAGACTCCTTCAATGAGCCTTGGTCTTAGCACACAGTTGTATTCTAATGATTTGAAGTCAAATTTTAGAACTCAGAACAATAGAGAAAACTGTAATTTTTCATATCTTCATGTGATGCAAGTTATTTTCATTTTTGATCCTGAGTGCCTATATTTCAAGCTGTTTCATTTTCACACTGAAATAATATTTATTTGTGAAGTAATTTTTTCATTCCGAATTCAAGGATCAAGATTACAGGACTGGCACAAGTGAGGAGAAACCCAGCAGGCTTATTCGATTAAGTGGGGTGCCTGAGAATGCCACAAAAGAAGAGGTAAGGCATATTCTCTCTTTTTCTCTCTCTCCCCCCTCCCTCTCCCTCCCTCCCTCTCCCTCCCTCCCTCTCTCGCTCCCTCTCTCCCCCTGCAATTCTCTCTGTCAATCGGTCAATTAAAAGTACAGGGAAGTCTTGTGTATCCTTCACAAGGACCAGTTCCTTCAAATCTTACTATTGAAAAAATAGTCAAAAGTGATATGCCAAGCCTTCAAGGTTTTTACCAGTGTCTTTAGGACTGCATAATATTAAATGGTTTAAAAATAAAGGTAATTTTGCGGCGCTGGGAGTGCAGCAGCGCTCCTGCCGCGGGTTCGGATCCTATATAGGGATGACCGGTGCACTCACAGCGCTCACTGGCTGAGCGCGGTGCGGCCGGTCTCAAAAAGGACAATAAATAAATAAAAAATAAAGGTAATTTTTGGCTGGCTGGTTAGCTCAGTTGGTCAGTGTGGTGTTAATAACCATCAAGGTAAGAGGTTCAGATCCCTGTACTGGTCAGCTGCCACAAAAAAAAAGAGATCTTTTTTTTTTTTTTTTTTGTCCTTTTTGAGGCCGGCCGCACCGCGCTCAGCCAGTGAGCGCTGTGAGTGCACCGGTCATCCCTATATAGGATCCGAACCCGCGGCAGGAGCGCTGCTGCACTCCCAGCGCCGCAAAATTACCTTTATTTTTAAACCATTTAATATTATGCAGTCCTAAAGACACTGGTAAAAACCTTGAAGGCTTGGCATATCACTTTTGACTATTTTTTCAATAGTAAGATTTGAAGGAACTGGTCCTTGTGAAGGATACACAAGACTTGCCTGTACTTTTAATTGACCGATTGACAGAGAGAATTGCAGGGG